TATCTCTTTATTAGATTTATATTAATTTATATAAATTGAATGAGTGAAGAGTATGAAGAATTTTATTCCCACATCGTTTTCGAACTTAAATATTTAAGTATCGCTCCATAAGAAACTGCAATTTCCTGTTGACATGTGTAGATTGCACGAATAGTAGTATCAACGTGATAGTTTATCTTACATAGGACATCAACGGGTAATAAGTAAATAGCTGTAATCTTCGGATGTTAGTACTTATTTAAAAAAAATTATTCCTATTAATTAATCCTCTTTAAATTCTGCAAAAAAAAGAGATGAAAATTGTTGTCATATTAAACTAATAATTATTGCTTAAAAGTAAATATGAAAAATGTGAATATAATGGTGAGCATAATTATTCTGTAAATGCATTATTTATAAGATAATCTGTATAATTCATGGTCTGAATTTCCTTATTCGCATCAAGGGATTTCCAGTTCACCGAGTCTCGTACTGTAAATCAATCCGATTGCATTGTTTACGGATATCTCCGGTGGTTATCGAATTAGCGGCTATTCACGGGCGCTCCCGTAGCCGTGAAAGCTCGCCCGCGGGGATTTAAAAGCTAACAAGATTACGAATCAGCCGCGGAGATAGACCACGGTGTCGGATTTAAGTGGGTCAGTGTCAAGAACCGTGTCCCCGGTGAAAATTCAAATCGTCCCGTCCCGTTCCGTGGCGCGCGCAAGAGGAGTCACACCCGGCTTATCTAATCTGTCCCGATAAGGATTGCGTGCTTCTCCCTTTTTCAGAATGTCGTGGTTGTTCGAACTGGAGGACGTCCTACTGCCGTCGGTGTACTTGAGGCTGAGCTTAACGAGCGGGCAGAGGGTCGGGCTGGTAGCCGGCAGAGTGAAAGAGGCGTTGAGAATAGCCAAGCAAACGAGCGCGGGGACCAGGAAAAAGGTTCTGCCCTATTACTGGTACAAGTACCAAGATCAGAGGGATACGTATTTGAATAAAGTTAGTCGTTCTCGCTTCAACATTCTCTTTTCCCAAAGGGTGCGCGCTGGAAGATGCGGCACCTGATAAAGAACACGGGGTTGGGTGCCTCTTCAAAAATGAATTTATCTTCGTAGGCTGATCTCGAGGCCACACTACGGAAAATCTCCGATCTCGGTGCCGACGGTCTCATCATTTGGGGAAGTTCTAACGATATCAACACCAAGCAGAAGTGCCTGCAGTTCAGGGAATATCTGAACAACGACCTCGGCCCAGTGGTCGATCGGATCAAGCGGACGTCGCCGGGTCTGATGAGGGAGAACGAAGACGAGAACGAGGACAACGAAATCGACGAGGTCGTCGACGAAGTGTGAATCGTGTATCGTAAAGACGAAACGCGTTGGAAACGGAGAAATTGTACAGGTTTCTCAAGTCGGTATACGATTACCATACGTGATGTGTACGCGTGGAACCGTTTGGCCTTCGGAATGGAAAGATGCCGGGCGCTAATCGTTGAAACGGAAACCAAAGACGTCGCGCGACGGTCGAGGCATAGTACGCCTGATAATAAATTTTCTGAGGAAATTATCCTGGGAGAAGTCGCATCTTCCTTCTCCTGTCAAATTGCCTTTCATTTGAGAAAAGATCGAGTCGAGTGAGAAATATCATCCTCACGTTGAGATTGACTTAAGGAAATTCCATTTTGCTTGGAAAAATGACGATAATAGTTCACCATGCGACCATCTGTCTTTCAGCGTGCTATGCCATTTCTTAAATGATCGAATTACCTTCTATTGTCAGCGAAGGTGGGGGCCGCTGTTCGGGTGCGCGACGCATTCTGGCATTAGCGATACGCACGACAAGTTTTACTGGTTCGAGGTGTAAGGCCTCAGGCGATCTTACTTTTTACAGTACACGCGACGTCGCCGTCGCCATCGTCGTCGTCGTCGTCGTCGTCGCCGTCGCCGTCATCGTCGTCGTCGTCGTTGTATGTAGAGGTAGTCAAAGATCTCTCTTGCTTACCGTTGATTCCGACTGCTCTCTGCCCCTCCATCGTTCCGTTCCGTGATCCTTTCTCTTTCTGTATCCACGAGGATACCTGAAGACATCCTTTGGACGGACAAGGAGAGAGAACGGAACGGGAACGGCGCGGAACCGAACGTGTACACCGTGAGGTAGAAGGAGGAGCTGAAGGAGACCAGTGGAGGTGGAGAGCGAGAGAAGAGGAGGAGGAGGAGAGAACGGAACACGAGAGATCGGCAGCACAGTTTCGTGTTCAGCTCAGCTCGGTTCGGCTCAGCTTCATATCGGATCGCCGTGTTTTTCGAGGCAAAACCGAGGTCTCCAAATTTGTCTCGTTCAACCGATCCCGATAGTCCGTACCTCCGGGGGCCGCCCGGGACGTTCCGCGTCGGATTCAGAGAGAGGGAGAGAGAGAGAGTGAGAGAGAGAGAGAGGAGACCGAGTGCAAAAGTCGCGAAGAACCGGAGAAGTACGCAGAGAGATCCGCGTTCGTTCGAAACTTGTTTGCGCCGATCCGCTCGGCAAATTTTCTAGAGTGGTGCGTAGTAGTTCGCAAACGCGTCGCGGCCGTGACGTGAACACCGGAGGTGAGTGACAGTTTCTTCGGAAAAGCCAAGGCTGCACGCTGCTGATCGTTGCCAGAGTCGCCAGGTTACGTACGTGATCCGCGTGCTAGAGAGTACGCTCGGTGAGCTACGAGGCCCTGGATGTAACGATTCATCGAAATAGCCACGGGCGTTCTCGCTCAGATCGTACGAACGGATGTAACAGGTTTCGTTTTGGTCCAGCAAGTCTTTTAAAACCGCGCTCGATTCTTTATTCCGTGTACGACAATTGTTCGGGAGCATCTGCGGAAGATCGGCTCGGAGCAACAATGGTTGGGCCGTTGCGATCACCGGAAGGCAAGTCCCCTTTCCGATGATCCGTTCCAGTCTGAAGAAAGTAACACCGGATGAAAGAAAGAGAAGGAGACTCGCGATGATCACAGGCTCTCTCTCGAGAGTCGCTCGAAGGGAGCTAAATAGTTCAGAAGCACCCTATCCAAAGCGTTTTGCCCACTAATCCTAATACCAGGCCCTATTCTCGAGTTAATGATACCTCTTCTTAGACGCACAGTTAACTTCGGAGCTAAACTGTTGTGCGGTAGCCATTGGGTCCTTTCTAATGAAGACCTTTTCCGACTGCCTCCGCTTGCCACCGTGCAGTTAATTGGCTAATTCGACGAAATTATTCAACAAAAATGTACACTAATTCTAGTCCGATCTACTTCGCTCGCGCGAAATCCGCGGACGCATTGTATTCCCGGTCGTTAGGCAATTTCATGCAAATGTTATTTCAAACTCTCGATCAACTCTGGACTGCTCAGTGAACAAGAAATAATTCAACATAAAATACACAAATCTGAAGAGAAATAAGAAGTTGTCTGATAGTACATAAAGAATCAAAGTCATTTAATCTTGAGGTATTTAATCTTGAGAAAGATAGTTAAGCATCGTTAGTAAAAAGAATTTCCGATAATTCCCTGAACAAACACCTACCTATTATTGGACATGTTACTTCATTCCGTAAACACCGTAATATCATTAACCGAGCTCATTCCGCGGAGAGTGGCCCGCGCTTAATTACGTCTTATGGTGCGCTTCTTTTTAAAAGCTGCAGGTAGCCGGGGAGCGTTGATCGAGGCGAGCTTGGGAACAACCGATGCTTGCTAACGCGGCCGTGTTCGCGCCTTCGTGTAATTGCTCCGCAGAAAATTGACAATAACACCCGTGAACCTCTCATCAAACCTCGGTTTTATCGCCGTTCGCTCTCTGTATCGCTTTCAAAATTCTTCCTTCGCCGAGCGTTACACCGCACGCAGCGTGTAACTTAAGAAAAATCGAAGGTTCGAAGGGGGTCCGTGACACTTGATATCATCGATAGGTCGGGCCAGCGAGAGAGGCGAGGCGAAGTAGCCGTGTCATCTCGAACTGAACGGTACGGTTGTCTGTAGTCCAGGTAACGGGTTATCGGTTGCCACGAAGGGATCATTAAAAGAACCAAGTACAAATTGGCCCTCTGCCACTTTTGTGAAATCTGACGATAAAGGCACTAAGGTAATCCTTTTTTCTCTCCTCCCCCCACCTTCGTTTATGAGTTTCGGGGAATTTTTTTCAAAGAAACGGAGAGGGAAAGGAAATGGGGCAAACGGGTCGGTCGGGAGTCACTTTTTCTTCATCTGTCATCAGAAAACGGGAAAGGAGTAGGAAGAGAGAGAAGGAGGGAGAGAGGAACGGGTGGTAGCGAACGAAGTAGCGAGGCCAGGCTCGAGGAAGACGAAAGGGCCCGTTTTAAAGAGGCGAGCATTAAAAACAACAATGTCATTACATTTTAACGACCTGTTCTTGGGCTCTGCCCACCCTTTTAAGAACGTTCGTTTACAGGTATGTGGTCCGCGCTCTCCTGGGGGCAGCCACACCGAGACTCAATTCTTTAAGCGATACGCACACCGTTCGCCCTTATCGATTCCTTTTCATTTAAATACCTGCTTACATTTTAAACTGGCCTATCCTTAAACGGCTTGAAATTATAATAGAAACTTCAGAATTCATATTACGTCCTCAAACTTCGGTATCTGCAATAAAAATTGTTATCTAGGGAGGCAATACTTATTCTTGCAATTCATTAAACAAGTAAAGTGTAAATTCTTTAATCACAGCTAATATTTCCTATAGGATTTATACTTCGCTTGTATGCACGTCTCCTTGTTTGGTCTCATGGCCTAAATCCGTTGATCAAGACTTCGAATACGTCAAACGTTCACGCGGCGTCGAAATTTCAGCGAGCTTAAAATCGCGATCTAATCAAGGAACGAAGAGGGTGCGAAAGCAGCTTAATCCGACACTGCTCGATGCAACACACATAGGACCCCGGCGCGGCGGCCACCTCACGCTCTCCCTCTCTCTCTTTCTCTCTCTTTCTTCCTCGGGGCCCCGTTTCCCTTCCTCTCGATGTGATACTCTCCCCCACGCTGCGACTCCGGGCACGCCGTGCAGCTCGCGAAGAATTAGTATGGGCGAAGTAACAAAAGCACGAGGAAACAAGCAGCACACGGGGGGTGTGCGCGGCGAGTGGCGGCGAACCGTAGGAAGAAAAAAAAGGAGCCGAGATGGCGCCACACGTCCAGCGTGTTTTCGGGGCTTCCTCCGGTGCTGTTGGCAAACTCCTTTTTCTCATCTTTTTGCGGCTACCCCTGGGGCCCCCGGGTTATCTCGCGGTCCTTCTCGGTTCGCGAGCCTCACCGCTGCTCCCTTCTCGCTCCTGGCGCGTTCTCCCTGGCCCCGTCGGCGATCCCTCGTCTCCTACCTTTTTCTCGTCGCTTTTCCTTTCGTTTTGCTCCCCTTTCCTGAACCCTGCGGGGCCCCCCTATTAGTTCGGCCACGGCACCGTATTGCGAAAAAAAGACGAGCTAAGGACGGTCGCGAAATGCGAAATTGGGGCTAGACCAAATCGAGAGATAGGCATTTCTCATTAAAATGGAAGAACATATTGCGCTCGAAAATTATACGCTCTAATCTATAGCCGTAATCGAACGGCCGCCTTTCAGGCGTCGCCCTCGCCTCGTCCGATCGTGGACCCTCCTCATTGACGAACGATTCCATGGTACAAAAGGATCTTAAACGTCCGCCTTTCCGCGAGACGAATTTTAACAATAATAGGATTCGCTTTGTACCGCAAGTCACTCTTCTATCTATGGTCATGCCTAGATGCTCGGTGAAGGTGATCCGGCTATGGTAGCCGGCTCAGTAGTTCCAGCGTCTTCGGAACCACCGGCTCGAACGTTTCCATTGGTCGAGCAGGTTGAACCATTTGCCTTCTACTGCTCTTTCTTTCTACTCCCTTTATTCTCGTTCCCCCGTCCGTACTTCTAAGTACTGTGCCAGCGCGGAGATCATGAAAGTATCGTGTACGTCAGGACCGTATGAACTTTGGTCCAATCATATTCCATACCGTTGTAGTCCACGGAGTGCTGACAGATTCTCACAGAGATCGAAACTTGATTTTCAGTAAGCATTACCGCTGTTCATTTTCATAGCAATTTCTAAGTGACATACTCGGCCGTCGAAAGTCGAGAAGATCCTTCCTCGAGCTCTCGGCTACGATTCCCGGCACGTTCTCTATTCCCGAGTCGTCGTTCAGGTTTCGCCAAGCATAATTCTCCTCTCTCGTCGAGGGAAAGTCCGAATGAAATATGGATTCCTATTAGTAACTTCCTGGAAGTGGTTCGCGTCACGCCGTCAGGTCGTATGGCGCGGGCCGGCTCGTTTCTCGCTGGCTAGGTGTTAAGCTTCTCGAGTCGAGCGGATTTAATCCCGACGGTTTTTAAAAGGTCCCGCGAGAGGAGGGAGCCGTGACCGAACACAGATCCGTGGCGCAGCACACGGGATCCTCGCGGCGGCCTTTGTGCTCGGGCCGCCTAGGCTCGGGGGCCGCGTCAAATTTGGTTGAAAATCAAATTAATCTCGCGGCTGGGCGCAGGACCCTCTTCCGTCTCGCTTCGGCGGCTAGGCCCGATCCTCGTCTGGCCCAGGGCCTCGGCCCCGTCTTCCTCGTCCCGACGCGACGCGACGGCGACACGAGCAAATCGAACGGACGGGACTGGGAAGAGGAAGAAGCTGGGGAAGGAGGTGGACCACGGAGGTCCTCCGCGCCACCCGACACGGACCTAGAGGCGAGAAGAGAAGGTGGCGCACCAACAAAGAGCTTTCGACTTCTGGCTGCGACCTCGCCAGGGCCGTACTTATTCCTTTCCTCGTTCCAAGATCATTTGGATATGAGAAATATCCATTTCAGACACTTGATTACTTTTAATTCGATTTCATGATATTCAGAGTATGAAACACAGCAAAGATTTATTCGAACGTGTGTCAAATTTTAGAATTTGGGAGAGGAATAATAAACGTATGACACCTATACTGTTGCTGAAGAGTATGTGGACACTTACTATAATAAAACAATCTGAAATTATTACGAAAATTGTTGAGAAATTTTATTCAATTTTATATACTTTACACTATACTGCCCAGGAAATACTGTATTTGGTAAACATTTCATTAAAAACCTTATGAATGATAATAATGAATAATTATATTGTATTTGTACTGCAGCTGTATTTTAATTATAGCTTTTACTATTCTTGCCATTCTGGCTATCAAGCTTTAAATTATTTTAAAATCAATGTCATTTCACTCAATTTCGTATGGCTTCAGTAAATTTCTTTATGTACTATACAATAGAATGGGTGGTGAATAGATCATTAAATTTATATGAATCACTTTAATGATAGCAGTTACCACCAGTATTATTATACATACTATATCACGTATCAAAATTTGACAATAAACATTATATACTATTTATATTATATATTAATTATATATTAATAATATACTATTAAAAATGATAGATGTCCACATATTTCTGACCAGCAATATGCATCTCATTAATTAAATTCTTTATAATGAGGCATCAGTTTAATTCCATTGTCACGTTTGGCGAAATTACATCGACACGTTGGATTTGATGAAAATACAAAGATTGATATATCAGTTTAAATTACGTCGACAGATTTCGATACTCTGAGAGGTGTATCATTTCTGCATACTCGGTACATAAAAAAAGCAGAGATCATCGTTGTTTGGATATGGAGACTGAAGTGGCGCTTGTTTGTAAATCGTCGGAATCATCTGGGATTAAGTACTACGTCCCTGTTGCATCGTATTCGGTCATTCAAATCTCCGCTCGTGGAAACGACGGTGAGGTCGTCGTCGCTCGGCTCGCGTAGCTGAGCACCTCCCCTCGCTGTATAGGGTGATTCAGCAAGAATCAGCTGAGAGCTCTAATTTTCGGGGTATCCCATGCGTAAGCCAGTCTCTGCTGGGTGTCACGTTCCACAGGGCTCGTAAACAAACGTTCGAACCTTCGCACGTGTGTGATTAAAATTCAACGGACACACCGTGACGAACATTCGAAATAAATTAATTCTGACACGTTGCGATTAACTGTATATTAATTATACAATATTGTATTTTCTATTTTTTTTACGTACGACCTTGGAAAATTCTCTTTAACCGAACGTTTGGCACCTATTTTGTGATTGAACAGCTCCTTCCCTTTGAAAGATTGCTTCGAGGAGGTTCTTGGAAGCGCAAATAAGAAACACAGAGGGAGGTAGGGCGAGAATAAAGAGAACGGAAACCGCGACGAGAAGAAAAGGTTCGACGGATTCGACGACGGATGAAAAGGGGCAGAGTGGAAGGGGGAAGCGGGGTGGTTGGTTGGTTGCGGGTAGAATAAGAAAAAGGTATCGGGGGATTGAAACGCATCGGAGGGGAACGTTTAAAGTTGATCCTCTCTGTGGAAATACCGGGGACCAATTGTCCGTGGAGGGACGAGATTCCTTCTGTTGTCAGGAATTCAACTCGCGAGAGTCGAACGACAAAGTGAATTCCTGAAGGAGCCGAGGGGATGGACGCGCGACGAGAGGATTTCTTCGTGAAACCGATCCAAGATTTTTCAGCCGCGAGGGGAAAAAAAGGGGCCGAGCTCGTTGGTAATTGGGCCTGCACATCCCTTTACCTTGTCTTTCGTGAAAGATCAAGAAAGATTGTACGATGAGATTGACGCTTCTTTTTTCTACCGTCGCCATCGATCGGACGGGCTGTGTGTACATATATATACGTATATACGGTGTTACATGTGAAGCTTCTACCCGCTGTTGATGCGGAATTATTGCTTCATTACCGATTGCTCGGCGAGAATAAAAGGTACACGCTCGCAAGCTCGACTGCCCGATCTAATTGAGACCCACCCTTCGCCACTGATTGCTTCCGAACGCTTCGTCCTTCCTTCATGTTTCTCACGAATCGAACACGAATTATGGTTTAAGACTGTATGGATTAAATAAAAACAGAGCATTGAAAGTTTAATAGTTAATTTTTAAAAATCTTGTTTTTATGTTTAATGGCAAAATGTTAATCTAATTTATAAAGAAATATAGAATTTTGTAATTTTATGCAATTGTTAATACTTGTTTTGAAAATACTTAAAATAATATCGACCTCGAGGATATTATTCAAGATCGACAATAAGAAGTAAGCAAAATTAAAAAATGTAGACAATATATGTGCTTAATTACTAATAATACTTGCAAGTCATATATAATCTCAATTAGAATCTCAAGTGAAACAATTTTACAAACTTTATTTCTTTATAAACCGCTTTATATAAATTACGTAGATTCCTATCACATTTATCTAACTTTTTCCAAAGATTTTACGAGTCATACAGCCTGAACAGGTTCTACTTCTTATTAACAAGAAATGATCTGATTATCTGTTCTACAATTGAAGCTGAAAATATTTTTAAAACGTTCAGGATGAATTTATTTTATCCATCGTTAATTCCAAGTATTGTTACGCTCTATTTTTGTAAGGGCGAAAATTTACAGTCAACCTTCGTGGCTGACCTTAAAAGAAATCGTGTATCGCCGGAAGAAGTGCATCCCGTATTCAAGCCCCGTAGCCTAAGTCCAGTGCTATTTATGGTCGGGGCATATCTACGAGAAAGTCTCCTTTCTCTCCCTCGTTCCCCGTCAACCGGCACCAGGGAATTCCGTTATCTCGAGATCTCGGCGACTTCTTAAAACTCGAGCATCTCGCTCTCATTTAGAATCGGTCCTTTCACGATTTATGAATGAACGCTAGTCGCATCGTTATCACCCCTCTTTCTATCCACCACGTGTTATCGTTAGGTCCTTGTCAACATTTTCAAAGACGCGCTAGTATAGCATTTCTAAGAGTTTACTATAATCTATTATAATTCTTATTAACATTTATCTGTGTTAAAAATTGTAGTGTGATTTCATATAATTTAAATAATCTGATCTCTTTTTTTATATGGGCTTTTCATTTGAATAGTTTTGGGTAAAAATTGATATAATAAGCCTACGTCGAGGAAAGGAAATTTAAGAAATTCACTTTAAACAAAGCTCATGGAGAGGTGAATAAAAGGAGTAAGAAGAAGAGAAGCGCTGGTATGACGTAATTTTAGACGGTCGTCGAACTTGAGAGCTGAGGAGAGAGACCCACGGACTTTCATTCATTCAGGGTGGGGACCAAAACGAAACGAGTGTTGCACACGTACCGAAATCGCAATCGCAAAATTTTTTCCTAAATCCAATGATCTAAGCTAAAGCTTTTAATTCGTTTTTTAGTCTCGGTTTTAACTTGGTTTTATGCCTGGCAACGATCGACAGATTGGAAAGAATCGGATATCCTATCCTGTTTTTTTATTGTTCCAGGGATCATGGGAACGACATGCCATCTGACAGTGGCGATCGTGCTTTTTCTAAGGGCGGCCACGATCAATGCCCATCGCGAGCATAAGGTTCATTTATCAACCCCTTCCTTTATAAGTAGACCGTGGACTTTTATGCATTTATAATTTATACATTTTTATCATTTATGTAAATGCTCTGGATTTTAAACACTGTATTCAATGTGCAAAAGCATAGGAAGTATTACAAGCAAATATTGTACGCTGTGATATTTAATTCATAAATGCAAACCACGAACCATACCTAAACATTGTTCGATTCCCTCTTCTAAATAATTTACTTCCCATAAAAATCTGCAGTAAGGAAAAGCAAATAAGAATACGATAAATTGTAGAAAAAGATTTTCCATATTTTTATAAAGTGACGTTGAGCATTGTTTTCAGGTCCACAACATCGTACTGTACCCGGACAAACACAGCTGGTGCAAAACCACCCCCATAAAGCAGGTGGTCGCTTGGCCACAGTGCTCCTCGCAGGAATTGGACAACAATGTGTGCGTGGGAGCTTGTTTCTCCTACATGGTACCTCACAGCGAGCCTTCCGCTCCCGGTGATTTAATCAGACCCTACTGCGACTCTTGTCAACCTTTAGACAGCGTCTGGCATACGGTAGGTAAAACAAGAAACGCGAGACGAGCGAAGAGAAATAAAGAAGCAAATAAAAGACGAAAGCACTTCCTAACAAACTGACAAGTTAATCCATGCGTTTAGGTCACTTTGGACTGCAAGGATGAAGAGAACAACCCTATAACCATGCAGAAGAAAGTTCAAATTATCACCAACTGTTCCTGCAGCTCTTGCATGGAGACATCTAGAATCAAACCGGACTACAACACGCTCCTCCAATCGCTGACCGAGGAGAACCTGGACAAGAACGTGAACATCGTCCACGAGACACCGGATTTACTGTTAGACCTGAATTTGAACGCTTCGAAGAACACTACTAGGGATGGCGCGTTGGCCAAGAACGAGCGGTACCAGCAGCTTTTCAAGCAACTGAAGGACCCTGAGAAGTTCGAGCAGCTGGACAGCAAGGAGTTGTTCCCGAATTTCCACCAGGAAGTCGATATGGTGAAAATAAGGGAATTGATGAAGGAGTATCGGGAAGAGGAGGTGGAGAAGCAACAGTCGCATCAGCATCAGTCGTCTGGCAAACAGGAGCAGCAGCAACAACAACAGCAGCAGCAACAGCAGCAACAGCAGCAACACTCGACGACGATTCTTCACCGAGGCCCACACCACTCGATGGTCCTGGATTCAGACGTGAAGGAGAAGATCGACGTGGAGCCGCATTACCTTCACCCGGCAGTCGCCGGACAGGAGATCAGCTACCACGACAACGTGCTGGTGGACAAGGACAAGAAGAAGGATTTCTGAGGCGATGCGAACGTGTGTCCCGTGACGGAAACGGCGCTGATCGAGTTTCAACCGTAGCGAGGGTCGCGAAGATGAGATTTTCATTACTTTCCCGTATTCGTTGCCGAATCCAATCTACCGACAGGTCATTAAAAATCGACGGACGAGATTCGACTTCGTTGTACATAGAAACGACCCATTTCTTTTTTTATTTCCCATTTTGTTCTATTTTATATAGTATTTTTAAATTGTTATTTTTGTGGAGCAGCTGATTAACTCGTACTGGAAATTGGGGAACGCGTCGCGCAACGTATGACAAAGAGAGAGAAAGAGAGAGAGAGAGAGAGCAAGTGCAAGAGGTGTACCCGGTAAAGAGAATAGAACGTATCACCTTGGCGACGAATATACGATTCACCACGAGTTTACGTTTACGGTAGACAAACAGGAATCTTGCTCTTCCATCGCGGCGGCTACGTACTTACGCAAGTCCATTTCCATTCTATCTTTTCCTTTTCTTCTTCTTCTTCTTCTTCTTCTCTCAAATATTACTTGGTACTGCTAACGATTCGTGTACTTTCTACTTTCTCTCAGGCTTTCTCCCTTTGTAAGAGACAAACTACCAGTAATAATATCGTCGGACATACGCACCGATGTAATCTTCCTGTACCAGCGAAAAAGTACGTTCGTCGCGGATTTCCCGAATCATTGGTAAACTAATAAAACTGGCCGATACAAATTAAATAGACATTTATGAATCCGTTTCCAGTTCTCGTCCGCGTGTATCTATCTACTCGTGCAAATCTGTCTTGCGTTTAATTTTTAGTAGCCGCGTCTGACCAGTAACGCCTAGGTCTACTGTGGAATTGTCAGCAGATGATTTAATCGTACCGGTAACCGGTAAGGTCAGTGTCTCGCGATCATCGATTTCATCAGTAACGTTGAATGATCGATGAAAAATCTGATCGTTCGATTGTCATTGAAATTCCTTACGGTCTTTAGTCTTCGTTTCTCCGTTAATATATACCCGGAATTGTACTTCTTAACAACTGGCAACAATCGCGGACGCCATGTGGCGTTTTATCTTTGTTGACTGCTTTGAAAGTGCATACACGTATGTACATTATATCCACTGTCTCGCAGAGAATAAACTGAATCTGTACAAGCGTTTTCCTTATTCGTTTACCTCAGCTGAAGATATCTACCAGTATAAAATACGAGGAAATGAACGGGGAATTCCTGTTAGGAAGAAAAACATTAATCGATGAGGAAATGCATTTTCCTGTGCAAGGAAATTAATCAATGAAGCATCGAAACAAATGAGAATGGAAGGAATCATCGATAAGAAGAAGCAAGGCAGAATGGCAGGTTGAGTAAGTAGATCTATAATACTACAGCTGCTAGGATAAGGCGGAATGCAAATAGAGTAACGAGGGCACACGGCTAGAATTAATGTGTAAAAGAGAAAATAGAGAAATACTTATCAGCAGAACTTTCTCTTCTTACAAGGGAAAATGAATAACAAGTTATCGGTTGAATGCAGGCGGACAGTTTCCTTACATTATGCAAGCCTTCTACGTCGTGGAATTTGTTTTTGCGTTTCGCAAATATGAGCTAGCTAAAGCTCTAAGTATTAAGAATTTCTACCAAATTAATTGAGACCATTTTAAGATCGTAACAATATTAATATGTCAAAATTTTAATTAAGGAAAGCGCCAAGTTTTAAACGTTAATCTTCTAGAAGCGACGCAGATAAGAACAATCCGTTTTCTGGGCGCTACCGGAATAAGAATGGGTAGTTGATAAGAAGGGAATTCAGCCAATCAGACGTTGTGCACCGGGTACATTCTGGCGGCGCGATTAGACTCAGAGCGGCTCGGTAACGGGGCGATCGGTGAGCGGTGAAAGAGCGCGGGACAGTGTTGCTCGGCGCTCCGTTGCGCGTCCCTGCCGATCTTTTGCGCGGCCGCGTGACGTTCCTCATCGACGGCGCAGCTGCGCGTGCCACTCGTGAATTAAAATGTTTCCTGCTACTCGTTGCTGATGCCTACCTACACGCTCAGCGACGGGATCACGATCGCTAACGACCAACGCAACGAGGTGACACGCGATGCCGGTGATACCCTTGGTGTTCGATTATTTTTAAATGCCCTACGACGACCGCCGTTCGGCCGCCAACGCGACGTCTACGGATACTAAAGGGTTAAACGCCGATTTCAAAACGACCCTCCTCCGAGCCGAGGATAACCGCCATGAACGGTAGGCCTATGTCATTTCAAAGAATTGCTCATGAACGATTTTAACACACGTGGAATGAGTTATAAATCCGAGGTATTAGGCTCTTACTGTCTATGTTATAAAAACAGTAGAAATCCCTAATTGTTTATGTTGTGTTGTGAGCTCCTAGGGCTTAACACTCCTCATTATTAAGAACTTAGAACTTCAATTTACTCCTTCGTTTTAAATACTCCTGACCTAACATTAAATTGTTGAATTAAGACTCTATTTCGTATATGGTTAAATTATGAAATTCGACTTCTATAAGATGTCTGTTTAAAGTCGAAATGACGATACGTTTAACACGATGTGACTATTGTATGGGTAATATGGTAAACCGTTGTCTGTTTACGAATCATTGCCCCGGTTCGCCTGTTCAAAAGTAACAGCGAAACTTTCCTTTGCGTCAGTCGTCGACCGGTCTTCGGTTGCCCAATGTTGCGGCAACACGTCGTCGCACGGAGCCCGTAATCATTCAAATCGATGTCGCAATGATATCGAACCGATCGGAGTTCTAATTCTACTTCGGTCGTTGCTAGGTACAAACGAAAAAAATATCCAGTATTCTGTCTCATCATTAACTTGAAACATTATATGAACTCCCAGGCTGACAGCCGGACAACTGCCAGTTATCGTCAATTAAAGTAATGTACTTGGCTTGTACGCTTCTTCGGCCAATAATTGCTAACGATTATGTCAGGCCTTGTCCGGGTTGCAATTACCGGGAGCAAACATTTTCGTTAGTTTCATTTGTGCTAGCGAAATTATATAGACATCTATATAGTATAGTTTTGGCAAAAGTTGCAGAAATTATATATTTGTATATTGATCTGAACTTACAATTATATTAATTTTTTGATAGTCATTTTTAGGGAAAATAAATTGCTGATGAGTCGATCTTCATGGAACACACCAATTGAATCTTACTTTTGGTAGATAAGGTTTTAAATACTATGACCTTCATAAATACTACGACTGTTTAGTCTACGACTATACTACTTCTAGTATACTACGACTATAGACTACGAGTATAGAATACTACGACTAGTTTTCTGGTAATTCACAAGATTGTGGATGTTTATGCAAATTCCTAATTTATGAATAGAATTATAGAAACGAGATCCATGCAGACATTTGTTTTCTCCTTTAATATTATAAATTGTATTCTACTTTGGATATCTTGTATTTCTTAGCATATTGCATGTATATTGCATGAATGCGGAAATATGTTTGATCATCACTTGTAGTAAAACTGACATTGTCGCACTTCATCAGATATTAACTATTAGCGATAAGACTTCGGCCTTTGTCATGATCACAGAGATAAATAAAAACTATCGTCAGTTTCGCAGCACTAACGAATTGTGCTCATTCATTCTGAAACTTCTAGAGAAAACTGTATCCGCTATTATTTTTAGCTAAAATTACAAGAAGTTGTCAGTTAGAACGAATTGCCTCCGAGCAGCTGCAGTGCAATTGATCTCGACTTTCGATCGTACCAGCTGTTGTCTAGAAAGAAAGAGGAAAAGCCAATTCACCGGGAGTGAATTGCAGAGCTTAATATCTTCTCCAAAGATTCTGCAATTAAGGAGATTCTTTATGGGAAACTTTATCAGGGTATCAAGTTCAGAGATATAAAATTCGTTCTAATTAAAGTTAACTGGCGAATCGAGTGACTGGCAATTAACTTAATGTAACTGGTACTCGATCTCAGTTGATTAAAGCTGATTAATTTTGAGTAGTATCACGATTACTGTCTGACTGTTTAATATTTTAAGATCAATGTTCTCAGATATCTTGTTATTTCATTTTTACCAATAATTTCTCTTTTGTTGTATCAAAGATAGCAATTTCATCAATTTTATCAGCTGAGTAGGCTCACAGTGGATTTAAGCTTGGAGAATTTGTCTGACCGGCATTGTCTGTTTCTACTACGAATTCACGCTGAGTCGGCAGACCAAGCCTTGTGGTCACGAACTACTTTGATAAACGTTAATCTGTCTTTCTTTTTTTTTCAATGCACTGTAGAAAATGACAAGTACGTAAATATGCATCAGATTGCATAAGCTAAATTAAACAATTAATTGATTACATTTTTATCTATGAGCAAAATGATGCGTATGGAAAAAGATTTTTAAGTAAAGGATGATTCATTTCATCGAATAGATTATAGACATCGACACGATGCTAGGAATTCACGTGCAGCCTTATTCGATGAAATGCTCGAGTTAATCCAGTGTTACAAATATATCTTCTCTCCTTCTTATCAGAATCACGTAGCAATTTTACTCCTAGATTAACGCTCCTTATCACGGAAAACAATTCAAACGTGTCGGACGACCGTCGTATCGCCTCGACGCGGCTAGTTTCCGCCGTTGACTTCGAACGTCGTAACTGTGCCAGAGCACATGGTGCTTCAGATAACCCTGAAGGCTATGATCCGCGATCAGACATTATTCATAAATCAAACAATTTTCCTTCGAGCTTAACAAACTTAAATCTCTGAGATATTCTAGATACGTACGTACTTATTATCGCGAGCTGATTTTCATTCAGAGATCCGCGTGATTTAATCCGCGTCCGACGGAAATAAAGAGGCTGTTACGAAAAAAGATGAAACTGAGTCTTCCTAATTTAGATTCATGCGTACTTATTTAGATCGTATACAATTTCTTTGAAACTTCAATTCAATAAATTGTTCGGTATAAAAGGTCGACTTTTAAAATTATGATGGATAAAAAAATAATAAAAATACAAAAGAATTAAATTCTGATGACTAGATCATTTCGTAAGAAATAATATTTCTATGAACTGATTTCTTATTCAATTTTTTTTTACGTGTTCCTCGTCTCGGAATTTTTTGCGAATTCCGCGCAGCATGGAAAAGGCGTCTCGACCTCCGTGCTATTTTCGAAGTAGCCGCACCCGCCGACCGATTCGTCGAAAATCGTCTCAGATTCTGTGTATGTAAGCGCTATGCTCGCGCGCTCTCGCCCTGCATTTAGAGCAGCCACGGCCGTTTGAACTTTTCGGGTCTATAATAATCCAGTGACTCGTCACTGACGAGTGAAAACGAAGTCATCGTTGTTTCCGGTGTAGAAATTATTAGTAACGCGTTATTTCCAAGAGCAGATTGAAATCATATTTTATTTAAATGTCGCACTATGAGACTTCTGTTTTCAAATGACGGAGAAAATTGAAATAGCGAGGTGGAAATATTTATTCTAAAAATGATTAATCATCATTTTTCGTCGGAAATTGTTTTTTCCAAGAATGGTTTTGAAATTTTCCTTTGAAGTTCAATCGTCACTGAGATCTCGAATTTATCTGATAAAAATGAAGCACAGGTCGAGATAGACTCAAATTGATTATATCTTCGCTTTTGTCATATTCTGAAAATCTAGATTATCTTAATCGAATCGAGATAACTGATAGCGACGGTTTACGATGAAAATACGATAAAAAAT